TGCATCAAGGGAACATTATTATTTTTGTTTACCTAGATATGCTTTAGTCAAAATAGTAGTAGAGTAGTTAAGCAAATTAAAATACTCTCAGTTCAGTGTCAGAAGGGACCGTTCTTGCTTCCAGCCTGGTCTTTAAAAACTGTGAAAATGTGCAGCAGGCTGATGTCACTTGCTTCTAATTAGAGCCTTGTTGTAGCCCGTGTTTGTGAGGACTGATTTTAGTATCTGCAGCTGAAGGAAGGAAAACCCTCAAATGTTAATGCATCCGAGACTGGAATGTGTGAGCTGTACGAGGGAAATCCACTGCTGCCGTGCCAGGCGGAGGGCTGAATCCGGCAGCCTCTCCTCTGGCCAAACTTCCATTAATCTTAGCAGAAAGGTGAGAAGTGTCCGTTCTGCATGTCCAACTGGAATTTTCCCCCTAAGACGAACGCTTCACTGCGGGGGGAACCCAAACCTAAACAATACCTGCCATTTGTGTGATGCTCTGAACGAGAAGCGGGTTGCTCTCGGCAGGTCTGTAGCGGTAGTTGGGGAAGCGGGGTGCTGCCGTACGCTGGCCTCGGTCTTGGGGGATGCACAGGGCGCTCGGTGCCGCTAGACAGCAGAAGTAGAAACTTCCACTTCTCGACGTGAAGGCAGTTTTGTCTTGAATGTGTGTTTTGTGTGAGCAAGTTGGGTTTTTACAGTCTGTCAGTCACATGCTTTATGATGTTTTATCGTAATGGGGGACTGACAAGTGAGAGAAGGAATGGTCATACTTCTCAAAAGCTTACAAAAGCATTAAACGGTTGTTAATCATGCTCTCTTTCTGAATAACAAACTGATAATGTATAAATAATTGGAACGAGGAGTTCATTGTAGCTGTACAACATCTTTTATTAAGTTTCTTATTAAACTGGGCATAATGAATCACTTAACTGGGTTACAAGTCAGTAATGCAGTGTGTGTGTGTGTGGGGAAAGAATTTTCTTTTCATGTGCTTTAAAAAGTATCTTGAAAATAAGGCATGCTGGAAGAGTTGTGGGGGTTTGCGACACCCACGTATGGGATGCTATCGCCTGGTGTTGCTGCGAGGGAGCTGAAGAGCAGCTGGGTACCACTGGCGGCTGCTGCCTCCCTCTCCGGTGCGAAACCATGTCGCAATGTGTTGGGTTTTGCCCGTTTTCTGTGGTGGGTGGTGGGGGCCCTGGGTTCATCATGCTGTGTGCGTTGCTGCAGCAGCTGCTTTCCCAGCAAAGAGGAAAGGAAACTAGAGGGCCAGCTAGAAATGTCCTAGGGGCCAGGTACGGTCAGTATCTCCTGCCAGCACAGGTAAACATTGAGGTTTACTGGTGCAACATGGTCTTGGCAAGAATAAAAGTCTGTTTTTTGCAGGAGAGTTAAGAGGATTGTGGGTTGAGAGTTTGTGTTAAATCTTTAATAGTGGCAGGAGTTTGGGGGTAGTTTTTTTAAAAAGAAATAAAAAGCGGCAAATGCAGTGTGGGTTGCTGAAGTTGTAAAGCAGAGCATGTTATTAGCCGCAGGAGGGTTAAACAGTTGAACGATATAGACTGTTTCACTCATAAGTGATAACTAATCTGTCTTTTTATTGCTGACTCCATTTCTGCTGCTAGCTCAGACTTCTCTGTTACTGTCAATGACGTTTGGCCATTCTGAATGTGGCCACGCTTTGCTCAATGGTCGGTGCAACCTATGGGGCCCAGAAACCTCCTGCAGGAGCAGGGTGGGGATGAGCAGCTAACGAGTAAGGCTCTGAAGAGCAGAAAGCTTTCTCCCTTGGCAGAAAATCCCTTTTTGGAAGTTTCTTCCCTTTCTAGACATGTGTCAGAAACCTCTGATAGAAGGGGATTGAAAACGGGATGATGGATTTTAAGTTGTAACGCTCCCTCACCCCCCGTCAGTTCCCAGTTGCATTTACAAGGTAAAATTAATGAAGTTAATTACACCTACTCAAAATTTTGGTTGTGTGAATTACTTAGATCTTTTAAAATAGAAGACTAATTTCTTGCAGGGTTCACAAGCTTTTTTTTCAGGCTTGGTTGGTTACTTTGGTTTATCATCCCCACGATGCGTGCTGCTCTGGGGTGCGCCTTTCAGAGTAATACAAGATGCCCAATTCAGATTAAAGGCCACTGCAACGTTCAAAGCAAAACCACTGTAATAATTATAAAAATAATATTAAAGACCAATTTCTAACGAAGGTGAAAAGGAGGATGGATTCAGAGAGTTAAAATGTAAAGCAAAATAAAAGGACAAGGTGCTTACAGGGTAGAAATACATCATGTAATTAACAAAGAAAATGTCTAAAATGTGGCTTGTCTGAAAGTCTTTTAGTTGTTTATTTTGGTGTCATCATTGAATTTTTAGGGGTGTTGAGATGGCGGGGGTTGGGGTGGGGCGGAAGTCCAAAGAATAATCTGTACAATCAAAACATTTAAAAGTGGTACATTACAGTGTATAGTATTCAAGATGAGGACTTCAAAGAATGTTTGGAGAGATCAAACATACATGATTGTGAGGCTTTAACTGATAATTTTATTTTAAAATAGCCTGACATGTAAGGTTGACATTAAAGATGAGCCTAAATTTAGGGCTGGGGGAAAACTTCAGCATGCAGTTTGCTTTTCACTGAATTGCATGTTGTTTTTCTTAGGAAACTTTTCTGCAGATTTAAATTAAAACTTTTTCTTGGTTTATGTTTTTTGGTTTGTTGGGGGGGGGCATTTGTTTTATTTTATTATTTTTTTTAAATTAAAAATCAAGTAGATGTTTTTTATTTGGAAACACTCCTCACGTCCTGTGGTGATTTAAACTTGAATTTCTGTATAATACTCATTTACTGCTGTGCCCTGGGCTTGTACCTGGCCTGTGCCTCCTGTGGCACCCCTTGAGCAGGACCTTCCAGACTGGCTGTCACTGTCCTTGTGTCTCCTGAAAGGCAGAACATGCTGTGTTTTGTGACATGTAATTCAAAAAGAGCATGGTTTACATGGAAAATATGAAGGTGACATGTACATTACTAGAGCTTTCCTGAAACATTGCAGCAGCTTTTCCAAATGGAAGACTGCAGATTTTTCAGTTAAAAGACTTGTGTTTCGATTTTCCATCAATAAAATTATAATGCTCATAGCGTACAAGTTCTTATTATGCACAAAAGCAATACTAACAGAGATTTATTTCCAAGGAGAAAAGGCAAAAGCATCACATATGCGATCCTGATACAAATGATTACCCCCCCAACATATGCAGTATAGTACTATCGGGTTAAGCATGTCATGAAGGCTCACATGGTGGTCCAGCAAACATGAAGAACAACAGGATCTTGAACAGCCATATTATCTAGGCATTTCGTTAGGGTTCTCTGAACATGCACACTTGAAAAACCAGTTTAACAGGAACAAGCGCTGGTTGAGCACGGTTATGCAAGTAAGTCTGGACGGGCATTGGAAATCCTTGAAGGAAACAAATATTCTCAGCTGATGATACTTCTCCAGGGCATCAGGGTTGTGAGGTGTCCTTCGGAGTTGCAGGACTGCAGGTTGCATTCCTTTCGTTAATGACTGAGCCATACCAAAGGAAGTCATACTTCCATTTCAGAAAACCTGTAGCGTTAACTACTTTTTCTTTGGGTTGTCTTGGGCTAGGTTGATGGAGAGAGGAGCTGTCTTTGGTTTGGTTTGTGCAGCATCCAGAACAAGGAGTTGCATACCTGTGAGTGAGGTTCACTAAGAGCTGTTGCAATAAGAGCAAAGTGATGTCTTGTCTTCCAAAATTACATTTCGGTAAAGTACATGCTCTAAAACCCCCATAAAATTCACATGGAGACAAAATATTTAATGCAACTACTGGTTCGAGTGTACTGATTACAGGAGTCGTGAACATAGAGGGAGCGCTTCTCTGAAAATCTGCAGTTTTAGAAGCAATAAAAGTCGTTTGTTTGTTAAGTTAGTTATCATAGGGACTTGTTCTTTTTCGGTCTGTGTTTTGGGTAGTTACTAGTTTCACCTAAAGTTAGAGGCACTGTGTGTTTGTCATTATTTAATTGTTTTTGTTATGTTCTGCTTAGAACATGGAAGTCCTTTATTTTCTGTTTGTTGCTGTGAAATTGTTTCAAGTTTTATGACTTCACAGATACGGACTGTATCAGCGGTTTTGTGCATATTTATGATTTTGGTGTTTTACAAGATGCTGGAGATAAGCCCCTCAGCTGTCACCATTCTCTATCTGTTTGCTGCTGATGGAAACACCTTAGCAGCAGCAAGTAAACTGCGGGCAAAAGGAATTGCAGCACTAACATAAAATTGTTTCTAATCTAAGTGCTTCTCAGTTGAGAATCACAGTATGAGGAAAAAACATATTCAAGGAATCAGTCAGTTGTAGCTTTTTTCTAATGTACTATATTTACAATCTCTGGCAATTTGAGCTGAGCACAGCGAAAACCTGGCCTAATTGCAAGGACTGCAAAAAAATACTTGCACTTTTTTCCCCTGAATAAATAGTTATTTCTTCAGGATGAAATGCATATCGGCATTATGAAAGAAAACAATAACAGTGCTGTGTCTGCACTCATTAAGTGGTTGGAAAAGAATGTACAAGTCCAGATTTTTTCTTTGGATCTACCTAGATTTCATACCACACGTTGGAGCGTATTCCCCAATGCTTCTGATTCTAAAGGAAATAGAGTACATTTTGATGATACTTTTATTATCACTTTTCTTCCAAGAATGTCTGTAACATTTTGGATTCAGTCCTGTGCGATAGTATGCCAAGAGTAAGCCTTTGTAATTCTGGAGTGTAGGTATACAAAATAACACAGGATTTCATAATGTATCTGTAATTCATATCAGCACCAAAGTGTTTATGACTTGAAAGAGATACGCATTACTTCTGTGAGACTGCATGTAAACATATATATTTAGGCAACTTTTTTTTTTTTTTTTTTTTTTTTCAGCATTGCTGACTTAACTTGTAAAATACTATTGTTTTTTTCATCTTAGGTCTGAGGGTAACTGTGTTACTGACATCATGCCTCATGGTATTGGGAGCTGGCCTGAGATGTGTTCCAGTTTCAGACCTAGAAATTAGGAAGAAGTAAGTGAATTAGTTATTTTTAATATACATATTTTATAGTTTCCGCTAATGTAATTTTTGCTGCTACTGCAAAGAAACGTTAGTAAAGATTTTCTGTATGAATTTGATATGCCAAATGTTTGTGGTGTGCGTGTGGGATTACATGCTTCCTTGCTTCTTCAATGGATTTTTCTAGTCCTTCTTCCACATAGTATCTGAAGATCAGAAAGCCCTTTACAAACTTGAGTTAATTAAGTCTCACCCCATTCTGCATAACTAATATTAATCTGTTTTGCAAACAAGGAAGCGGAGATTTAGACAGGTTCAAAAACTGGCCCAAGATCACACAAGGAACCATGCCACAAACCCCCCAAATATGTAATTTGTATGCAAATGTTAAATAATTAGTTCATGTTTCTCATATTGGATGTATGGGATTGTGCAGTGAGACAGATGAATTCATGCAAAATGCCCTTTTTCATGTCGTCTCTTCCAGTCTGCATTCCAAAGTAGTCTTGTACTTTCTCTGTGGTTGAAACGAATGCCTTCTGTACACGAGCAATTTAAGAGTTTGTGATAGAGACAGATTACTTCCTAAAAATCACACAATCCAAACAATTCAATTGCCCCATCAACCTATCCTGAACCTGGGAATCCTCGATAAGTACAGGAGTTGCATCCTTTTCATGCAACCAAGGAATAGGGATCACTTGTTGTTCACTTATCTTTGGTTTGCCTTTCATGCTGAAGGAAGAAGGAGTACAGGCATTACTGCATTTTTGTGCTTCTTTAAAAACAGTAGTAGCACTGGATCTTCACTACTTATGTAAGCACTAAGAAAAAAATGTTTATAAAAGGTTTTAATGTGTTTTTTTCCCCTTGAATTGTAGTCAGCTTCTAGACAGTCCTTGTATTATTTCAGTAAATTCCATTTTTTTTCCTTACCTTGGAAATCAACTTGGCAACATTTAAGTTTAGAAAGAAAATGGTTGGTGTGAAGTAGAAGGCAGATGACTAAATGTCATCAATTTGTCACAAATTAAAAAAAAAAAAGAGGTTCAGAGGACTGAGAATGTGATAAACACATTGATTGTAAAACCAGCCCTGATCAGGAGTAAGTAGCTAGGATGTAATGACTGGTTTATTGAACTATGTGCAGTGTGGCGAGTAGGGGGTGCCATTTCAGTTCTTAGGTGCTTAGTGAGTGTATAAGAAAGCCCAAGGTGTGCTGCAGATGTTAGTTGCCAACAGCATTGCCCATTTCAATGTGCTGTTCAAGGACTTTGTGAGTAGGGGAGGCTGAACTAACTGTATTATGCAAGTGTTCACAGTTACCATTTCTATTTAGGGTAAAAATGTACGATTAAGGAACAGCCATCCTCATTGTGCCCTTGCTTTACCTTTTCTCAAGATGCTAAGGGACGCTCAACATCCAGTTCATCAGTCCTGACCGATATTGGATTAAATAGATAGATCTTTTAAATGGTCCAGATGGTTTAAATGCAGTTAAATGTGGTATCTTATGTTGCTTTTTTTGGCATAAATCATAAATTAAGACTTATGCTTGCCTAGGCTTTATCAAAAATAAGGATGAAGGCTGTAAGAACCTAAGAAGAAATTCCCAAATGAGATTTAGATGTGAGGTATCATATGAGGAAGGAGAATTTCCACATGCTTTGATCAACTTTAAACAAGCTTTTCCAGTGTAACTGCAGTGAGGGGATCTGGGAGAAAGGTGAAATAAATGCTTAAGAAGAAACATTCAAAGAACAACTTCTTTAACTGGGGTAAGAAAGGCTGTGGACTGCAAAGAGTCAGATGAGATATATAAAATATAATGATACGTTTTATTGAAAACCATATAGGGGAAAAAAAAAGAAAGCATGAGCAGAATCTTAATGGAAAAGGTCACTTCATTTATTCATGCCATGAAGGTATGCATCACCTCCAACTGAAATTGATAAATTTACTTACTTAGCTTACTCCAAAAAAAGAATTTTTCAAGAATTGCAGCTCTACCTGAGGAAGTAGTTTGATCTTTTTATACAGTTTGATTAAAAATCTACAGAGTATTAATTATAGCTAGCTGTGCAGCAAAAGGATGTTTTTCAGTGAAGATTTCTCGAGACATTGTAAATACTTGTACATACTGTGCGATGTAACTTTTATTGTTTTGAGGGCTAAGACTGAAGGTGAATTTTCATCAATTACTTGAGGCATGATACCAAATAAAATAATATTTTTGAGATGAGCATTACTGTTTAATGCATTAGCAACAACCGGCTGAGCACTAAAGTCTGCACTTACTCTGAATGTGTATACGCATTAATATGACAGCTTGAACATTACAGAGCCAGTCAGATGGACAAGATCACACACAAGCTAATATTGGAGCATTTCAGAAGCCAGCGTAACTGGAATTTCTTTAAATGCTTTTGCATGTTTTGTAATGTGTTCCTTCAATCCCTGGATAATCGGCAGTAATATACTGAAGGATTTCCATGGGACAATTATGTCAGAGTTAAAATACAGAAAATTACAACAGTGTTCATGAGGTTTGCCAGGTTTAGGGGTTTAGGGCTTTTCCTACTTTGTAGCTGTCTCTGCTCCCTAAGCTCTTGTAATTTAACTTTAAGGAGAGCTACTAAAGCCCATTGCCTATCAGAGCAATCAGATGTGAGGAAACCGACGTTAAGACTGACATTTAATCCTGACTGCTTTATGCTGCTTATCACACACAGACCTCTAATATCCAAGTGCATTCTTAAGCTCCTTTCTAGTCTGTAATTATTCTTTTGGCTCTAGCGCGGAACAGCAGAGTAAGACTATCTCCAGCTCTCTGAGTCATGTTTTAAACACAAACCTTAACCTCTGTTTTCAATTCGTTTGATGCCCGTGTATGTGCATGACTTGTATGAGGGAGAATTCAGGTTGCGCTTTTGAGTATGTCTCTTGAAGCAGCTGTTCCTTATGGTGAATGTTCATCCTCTACCAGTGTGACCTAAAACTGTGCTGGGAATCCATGCCAGAACCACAGAAACGGAGTGAAGGCTGAGTGGGAGCGCCTGGCGAAAATGTGGATGTATGGACTTGTGTTAGAGATTGAGGAACCAGCCTATACGTGGACTAGTAAAGTCCCTCTCATTTACATGTATGCTCTTGCTTACCCACTTTCCTCCTCAGCCCACTAACCTGTGAGGTTGATGTGTGTATCATAGAGACAAGGAGGTAAAAGAGAGTTTTTATAATGTACCATGCACATCTGGGCTTGTCAAATATGCCAGATATGTGACAGTGAATTTGACTTTTAAAAATAAACCCCCAAACTATTATTCCTTTCTAAATGTTATGAACACCTTATTTGCCACACCTGTTTTTTTCAGTTCATGGTTAATGTAAATTATATAGAACATAAAAAGAAAAAAAAAAGATGTTATCAAATTGTACCATTCCTGAACTTGCACCTTCTTCCCTTCCTGAAGGTTACAAGAGCATTACCAATGCTTTTTGCCTGCATCTGCAGGTCTAGTCCTTTCCTTTTTGACTACTACTTGGCATGGAGTGAGTATTTTCATGGGACTTTTAAAATTTGATTATTTTATCCTGAGTACTAACAGTTACTAAGAGGCAATTATTTTTTTTAATAGACACAGTCAGGATTGGTTTTTTCCCCTCATGTAACACTTAGTGTTTATCTCATTTTCTGTGTTTAGGAATAGATTTACGTACAGCTTAGGACCTCCGTATGATTGTAAAATATTAAATCGAGGCAAAAAGCTATATGAGCTGAAACATATGAGAAAGAAGGAAATAAATGATGAAATCAGCCCATAGCCATAAATTTGTGGCTTTCAGGACTGACTGTGTGATGTAAGACTTCTTAAAATGTTTTGAAAGACAGGATAATTAAAGACATGGAAGCAAAGGATGTAACATAATTTGTCATTTGTATTGAATATATTAATTAAGCAATTTATTAGAACTTAGTATGCTGTGGGCTGGTAGGGTTTGGCCATCACATTAGGTTTCGTAACAGAGAAGTAGTTGTTGAGGACCTTGAGTCACGGCAGTGAGAGGGCACTCCTTGGCACTAAGTACCATTAAAACATTTGTTGGGTAGCCAGCAAAACAATAACACGGAGAATGACAGTGGAAACAGGAGTGATAATTTACAAAGTCATTTATGGGGGACACGCTGGTAGTTGGTAGTTCCTGTAAAATGGCTTTTTCTTTAATCATACCACTTCTTAGGATTTTGAATTTTTTTGCCTACTCTTAGGTATACTGATGTTAACTTTTCCCTTCGTTGTATTTGTAGATTCGCTCTTACCACATCTTTGGTACGTTTTGTTTCTATTAGCTAGTTGCAACCTAGTTTGTATCAAGTATTTTATTCTTGTTAGACATATTCTTTAATAGTTCCACATTCTCCCTTTTTCACGGCTGAAAGCCCAAAGAATGACATGGGATCATCTCGTTGTTTGTCTTTCCTGATCGTAAAATGACTATGAGCCACCATTCTCATGCATGAAAAATGCAAAGGGACACCTCAGAAGAGGTAATTCAGTAAAGAAAGGACATAATAAAACTCATATTCCCTGGAAATACTGAACACACTTCGGTGCAAACCCGGAGCAGCTGTGGAGAAGAGAGATTAAAACGTTCCAGGGAGTGAAAAGAGCATTTTAAGAGAGGATGGTAGAAGAATCTGCCTGTAAGAAATAAAGACAGAGTGTGATGCATGTTGTGTGTTCCCTAACTCACTGGGGAAGAGAAATGAAAAAAGTATTTAAACTTATGCATGGTTCTGGGAGTAAAAAAGATGAATAAAGGTACCAGTTTGTATGCTGTAGCTCTGCGAGCGCAGGAGGAGGATGTTAAGATGCAGCACTTGCCTGGCACTGATGGTACTCGCTGGTTTGTGCTTTGGCTGCAGTGCTGGGGGAAGGCCGAGTTGGGTTAATCCATAGTATCAAAAAAAGAGGCAAGTGGGGGTAAAAGGAAACAAGTAATTCATGGGT